GAATGTTATTAGCTGTAATTCAAAGATTTCTTCAATGTTTCAGTTTCTCCAAAAACCACTTGAAGGGTAATGTATTTTTAGAGGCATGCATTTTTCTAAAGTATCAGAAAATAAGATTGAGGTTTTACTAAGAGGTCTATATTATTTTCATTGCTTCTGCTAAAAACAGCACTGTATTAGAAGCCAGTGGCATATTTTTTCCCTCCTTATTTTTGGCTAGAGTTAGGTTTCAGAAGTTGGGTAAAATGGTGTAAAAATAGTTACTTCTTAAAAAAAATCAAATATTTGCTTTTAAAAGGAAAGGGCTTAGGTTTTTACTGAATATACCGTACTTTAAATTGATTTTCGCACCTACCCAAGCTTGGGAGCAACACGATTCCCGCCCGGAAGACTGGGCAAAGTGGGTATGACTTGCAATATTAAGGAAAGCACACCAATGCTTTTAAGGAAATTTTAGAACTTGCTTAAAAATGCCATTTCACTCTGGGTGTAGCACACCTTGCGATCCAAACACTTGGTGAGTGTGAGGTGCTCCAGTGCTCTTGCTCTCAGCTGTTCTGCTTCCAGAATGGTCCCTTATCTGACCTGAACATCAGAAATGGCCCTTGGACTGGTTATGAAGAGGTGGAGTTGGTCCTCAGAACGCAGAAAGGGTAGAAATGAGGCAGTCAGACCGCTCTTCCATGGTCTGCTTCTATCTACCCTTCACTGTCTGTCAAAACATGGTTCTAGGAAGCACCCTCAGAAAAGTTCCCCTGAAGTAATTCTCATGCCCGTATGTGTGCTGGGCGGCAACCGACAGTGTACACGCCCAGGCATTATGAGAGGTGGAGATGCTCTAGTGTGAAGGAAAGGAACACAAGCGCATCCCTCTCTGGGCACAAAGATTTTATTGTTTCTGGTGGGCTCTTGGCTTACTACTCCCCACTGATATATAAAATCAGTCTTGAAGGTGAGATTATAATTTATCACCTCAGACTTTCATTTGCTTTTTATTTTCCTTTTATAGTTATCATTTTCTAAGCATTTTCACATAAATGATTCATTTAACAAAACTGATAAAACACTTGCTGTGTGGGCCCTTCTTACTGTGATGGCGTCAACCACTCTGAGAGGAAACCTGGACAGGTATTACCTGCTCAATAGGTGAGGAAATGGGAACAGAAGAGAGTTGATCAGATATGTTGTCCTGAAATCTTCCAATATGTGGTTGAGTAACCAGGTACAACACAGGGGTAAGGCAGCATTATGGGAACTCATTTAAAAGAAAAAAGAAAACCCACTCAAACCAAAACTGCTTCTCTTGATACAGGTAGCTCAGTTTTTCTTTCTAGTCCATAGCTATTCCTTTCAGATCCCTGGTTAAACTTCGTTGTAATAGAAAATGGAGCATATTTTCTGATAACACCCAGTTGACAGTAACAGGCAAAGACGCACATTCCTTCTATGGTGCTCATAATTAGGCCATTTGGTATTGCAATGAGAAGAGCTTGTTTGAGAGCTCAGTTGAAGTTATTGGCATTCTTTGTTAGAATGACAATTAGACACTTTCGTGTAGTATCAATTTCAGATATTTAAAGATGTATACCATGTTTTGTTGCCAGTGTGATCTGGAGTTTAGTGGAGAGACAGCTCTGATGTTAAGGCAGACAATGTTTGATCAATGAAGACCTCCATTAGTCACCTGCTTATTCATTATTTTATAATCGTGTTGTGAAGGTTTTTTTTTTTCCAATTCAAACTTTCTCTTCTGTAATTTACACCCATTTTATTTTTTGCTGGTTCACTGGTTAGTATTCTGTTGTTTGTTTTTAATAATAATCCTTACATCAATTTGGGGATTCAGAGAACCTTTAATTAGAAGGAGGTGCTGTGATTCAGCCAAACATGGATTGATTTACTGTACATCATGTTCTCCAGGACGTCTCCATAATGAACTATTTAATATTAATTTACAGACACAGTAATACTTACAAAATGTCAATCAAGTGAATTTAAAAACCATTCCCCTAATTGCAGGCCAATTGAAGAGTGACAATAAAAATTTAAGCCTTCACTTAGATATGGCTGTTGGGCTCAACACTCACCTTGGGTAAGACTGGACCCAACATGTGAATAGCATCCCAAGACCTTTTTCAAATTGACATGCAAAACACTTGGGATGAAGTTTTAATCGAAGTAGAATTCCTGAAATCTCATTTAAAGGTCTTAAATTTGAAGAACTTTGTTTTCTAGAAAAAGTAGAGAACGCTGCATGGTGAAAAGTAAAACAACTAAGGATAAAATTGTGGGAATAGCTCTTTTGAGGTCATTGTTGCTATCCTCCATTACTTAAAAAACAGGCTTCTAGGATAACCCGGAATTAAGCACCATTCTGTGTTTTTGAGAACCTTGAAATAATATAACTGGAACTCATTAAATGCAATGTTTTTATCTCCTTGTGTTGTGTAGATTTAGAATTTAGGTTTCTGAAAACAGAAAAAAAAAGTTAATCTAAGGGCTCAATGCACATTTTTGAAGCCAAGTTCTTCTATATTCAGTAATACTCAATGGAGATTGAAAACTTAAGTCAGGCTTTTCTTTTTAAGAAGCTAGCTCATGAAATAATTTCTGCCTATTCATTTTGGATTATTGCTGAAAGAGAGAGGGCCAAAGTTATTATCAGTTCATATTCTTCAAACCTATGGAGTTCCTGTTGGGGGATCCTTTCACTGCGAATAGTTAGCAGCAGTGATGGAGGAAATAAGGGGCTCTGGTGAGAGACGACAGCCAGCCAAAGCCTCAGGCTAAAAAGTGATAATCTGGTTTTAAAATAAACGCAGTACCCAAGATTCATTGCTAAATAAAAATATTTCATTCTTTCCCACAAATAATGTCATCATCACAATAAAACTACCAGTTAACTTAAGTATCCCTTTACTATGTTGACATGATCTGAGAGGACCAGGTAAGAGCCCTGTTCTTGGTGAGTCTTTGAGAGTAGCTGCAATATCTAGAAGAGTGGGTGTCAACTGCAGTGAGGGTGCAGTGTTTCCGAATCCATGTGTCTCTGTGTTCATTTAGTTGTAACTAAACAAGTATTTATCGAGCAGCTACATTGAGTCAGGCAGTGTTGTAGGTCCTGGTAATGCAGCTGTGAACAAATGCAACAAAAATCCTTGCCTTCCTGAAGCTTAAGTCAGAAGAGACTAATAATAAACATTTTTATAGAGGTGAGAACAATGGAGAAAAACAAAATAAGAAAGGGAGATGAGAAGGAATGGTGGGCTTGGGTGAGGTTGTCATTTAAACTAAGATGGTCAGACCTGTGGGTGTCTGGGGAAAGGGTGACTGTCCAGACTGGGGGAGCAGCCAGAGCAGAGGCCCTGCAACATGCTCAGCCAGCAGCAGGGTGCCCATGGTGGTCGGCTTGGACTGAGCAAGGGCTCCACCCACAGAAGCCAGGACGGACTTGCTCATTTCCTTGACCTCTTGTATTTACTACCCGTTACCCGCCACAGGCATGGTTGCCCGCCCTCCGGAGCTCATGGCTATCTCATGTCTCCACTGAGCCTCTGTTCTACTCTCAGAATTTGTCACAATCTTCTCTGGTGTCTTGCCAAGGAATTCCATGGCATACACAGAAGACTGCAGCCCTTACCCTCTAATTTAAGGTCACTTCAGACTTTTCCATCCTTCTCACCTGTCAATCCTGGTCATGTCTCTGAAAATGCAGACTAACTGGACACCCTAGGTTGGGGTCTACTCAGAGCCTGTTAATGCTGTTCTGCCTAGAATGCTCTTCTTTCATGTAATGAATGTCTGGCACTTCTATTATTTGGACTTGAGAAAATCCAGAGGAATATGAAATGCCATACGGAATAACCTATTATGTTAGCACAGGTCCTGTTAAAATGCACACTTAACACTAAAATTTTGGTTGCATAATGAGTGAGGATCAAGTTATAGACAGACAGCATTGGTCAGTCAGTAGAGTAAGATAAATATTTCTATTCAGGTAGGCCTTGCCTTATTAGTGTCTTCTGTAGCTTACTGTGAACTAAACTATTTCTTTACTTTCAAAATAGATTTTAATTAGTCATACTATATTTTCCTCTCAAGGATGGATATAAGAGAAATTCTTTCTTATTGCTATATGTCCTGTGTCACATATCCAAAGAAGTAGATCTCCCACCTCCCCAAACCTGCCTGCTCTCTAACAAAAAGGAACGATGATGATAAACATGAAAACTATGAGACCGTTTCTCCTCAGGTTCCTGTATGGACTAGTGAATTAAGTGGCTAAGGCATGAATTTCTATTAGGAAATAAACTGCCAAAGAAAAAGCAGGTAGGATTCTTTATATGAAGTAAACTTCAGACACCTCATGCCCACTGTATTTGCTGTGTTTAAATGAGTTATTTAGATTCAATTTTCGGAAGTGAATTTTAGTTCCCTTCACCCCAATTTTATTTCCTCTTTTTCTTTCTTTTTTTTTTTAGCATGGAAAAGAAGGTGCACATCAGTAACATATTCCAGTTTTAGAGAAACTTTTAAATTCTAGTATTTTTGTTGGTTACATTGGAAAGTATTTTAAAATAATTCATCACAGGATCAGGAATAACTGAAATTACTTTGCAAAGATAGAATTTCATTCCACTATGATATATATTATAGGACATTGAAGTCTAAGAACTTTTAGGTTTAAAAAAGTATATTTCAAGATGAAAATTGTTTGGACATAGAGAAATTTCCATTATTACAAGTGAAAACCAATGTGTAGGGGTCGAAAATTTTCTATGTTTGCCTCAGACCTATCCTGGAGAACATCAAGACAAGGAATTGTGCCATATGGGCTATACATGGAACACCACGGATTACACTATATTTCTCTCCTTGTGTAAATAAATATAGCAAAAAAAAAAAAGTGGAAGTGAAGTTCTGAAGTAGAAGGGAATGAAAAGAAGAACAGATGAATAAGTAGTATAATGAAAAAAAGCAGGACAGATAATTGAGTCAGCTTGTCTTGAAGTGGCTCTCTAAATATTTTATTCCCACTAGTTACAGTATGTACATTTTCTAAGATCAGTATATTCTGTTTTCTTTTATCATCATTGAGCTCTGTAATGTAATTTTACATCATATATTATTCACATTTATGACTGTAAGAAATTCTTGAAATGATTTCTACATGTGGCCAAAGTATAAATTTTGCGAGTAAGACACATTGTGTACCGCCATACAGATGCCTTATATATTTTATGCTACAGGGTTAGAAATCTGTTACAACAAATTCTAACACTGTCATGCCTCGGTGTAGTTTTCCTTAGAAAAAAGGAAGCTAATGTTCTTGTAAACAGTACATCGTATGATGTAAAATTTGATTGATAATTCCTATATATCATCTTGATATACAGACTGAAAGATTTTCCTACATGTGCACTGATTTTTCATATATCAGAAAACCCATGAAGACAACATTAAAAAAGGCAACATTTGTTAAAAGGCCACTGCAGCTAACTTGTGTTGAAATTGACTGCAGCTACTGTTTATTTCCTGGGTGTCCTGAGGTTAGAAGTTGATTCCTCCAGGCAAACATCAAGTAATTTGACTTTGTCTCGATGTCTGAACAGCCAGACTTCTTAACCACTTCTTTCAAATGAATTGCTTGGGTCAGGTTATTTCCCTTTCAGGTCAGTCAAGGCTTCAGAGACTTCCTCGTTGACCTGTGCAGAAATGCTCGCTGGTGTGACGTTGAGATGAATGTCATACTGCTGGTCTAGGCCAAGGTAGCAGTCACTCATGAAATACAGTGTGTAGATATACCTAAAATACAAAAAGGGAACAAAAATGTAAAACCACCTTTCCAATCACAGTCATATTTCATTCTTTCAGAATTTTGGTGGCAAGATTCTGCTTACCTTCCAGGTACTTCGGGGGTATAAAAAGAGATGGAAACGACCTGATGATTTCGAACATATCCTACTCTTTTCAAAGCAATAAGTTCTCTCTTATCCACTTCTCCTAATATCAAAAACCACCCTTCATCTTTTGATTTTGGAAATCGAGGGGTAACTGCATGGCTGTCTTGCTTTCCCTGTAAACCAGAAAAAAAAAGATAAAGCATTAATAATTTCTAGACTTTCTATATCGCTTGGTTGTGGTTAAAAGGCTACAGTGTCTTACTTGAAGGCCATAAATCTACACAGTTCAGTATATCTATCTGGGATGGTTTTAATTTTCTGGTTTGGTGTCTTGGATATGCTATCACTTATCTTTTTTCAAGATCCTTAAAACACAACTTTGTGGCTATAGCTACCAGAACATTTTGGCTCAGTTAGAACAGAAAGCCCTGAATCTTGACGCCAATATGGTAAATTCTCACACCATTCTTATGATATTAATACATCATTTGCAGATGAACAAACTGAATTACAACCATGTTAACCAAATCTTCCAAAGCCTTATTCACAAGAAACTGATACTGGGGGGAGGGGGGGGGCGGAGTAATCAAGACTAGGCACTGAATTTCAAGATAATAAGCACTGTATCATATAAACACCCTTCTCTAACCCAAGAATAAAGTCACATCAAAAAGCATACACTCTAATATGGTAATATTAAAAAGTCCTTTCTCGGGGCTGGCAGAGTGGCTCGTTGGTTAAGAGTTGGCTTGGGAGCGTGAGCTCTGAGCAGCAGGGCCACCAGTTCAGATCCCACAAGGGACAGTGACGCTGCGCCCTCTACAGCTAAGATGGTGAACAACAGCTCAACCTGGAGCTGGGCTGCTGTGAGTCATTGGCAATGGCGTAGGCTGCAGTGGGCTGCTGCTAGCTACTATAAGTGGCCGGCAGCCAGTGTGAGTGGCTGGCAGCTGGCATGAGCTGCTGTGAGCTGCGGTGAGCGGCCGTCCAATGGCCAGTGACCAATCTGCCTCAGCTGGGAAGAGCGCAATGATAACACCAACATGGGCCAGTGAAGCGACGTCCTCCACAACTAGACTGAAGAACAAAAGGACAACAACTTGTCTGTTCCCCTTCTCCAATACCCCAATGCTGTTCCCCTCCCCCAATTCCCCAATTAAAGAAAAAAAAATCAAAAAAAAAAAAAAAAGCCCTTTCTCTGAGGAATGGGAAATTACAACCCTAGGAATTTGTAAGATATATTAATCACCACAGTCCAAGATTAGGTATCACCATAATGACAGCACTTGAAGTCTTTATTTTAGATCAGTATTACAAAATACAAGGTTATTCTAGTGAACCTTTAAAACAATGACTTTATGGCATAAAATATAATAATGATGTGTACTAATAATGACATGCTTTCAATCAGACTTCACTCAATATTCTAGATGGAGATGTTTCACTCAAGGCATTTCAAAAGAGAGGACAGAGAGTAATGTATTTTTACAGCATTTAGAAACAAAATTTAGAGTTTTTCTGACATGACTGGATCTAACTTTCAAGTAGGAATATTAAGGTTAAAATAATCTTAGTTTTTTTCCATGATTCGATCTGCATGATTATTACTATTTTTCTGGTAAGTTGGGATATATTAAGTTATCTAAAAATGCTCATATTAAAGCCTCTGAAACGCTAGCAGCCAAGCAGTTCATACCTACATGGACTGATCATTAGAAATCAAATGAGGTGAGACTTGAAGGCACAGTTACTGAAAAGACATTGTAACAGTAGAAAGTTCCTGACCATTTTGTGTGTGAAAACATAGGGGACAGTACCAAACCACAACCTTACTCCTGTGGGCTTATTCTAGATACAGGAAGGCCCCTGATTCCACTGGGCTAAAGCAAAAACAAATTCTTTCTTATTTCAATTATTACGGTACTAGAATCCAATCTGCCCATATGCTATGTAGTCATAGTCTCAGAGGGCCAGATAATTAATTTTGATGTCACAGGCAACAGAAAAGAGCACAGTAATTTAAAATAAAAATACTGTAAAATGTTGGCCTGTGTGAACACTGACAAAGCTCTCTCACATGCATTATAAGGAAGGAAGCAGACAAATGTAGCAATGGATGTGAGAAAACCTTTGTGTTTTATTCAAAATTCATGGAGGTAAGCTGTAAAGCTTTGCTCTCAACTATTAATACATCCAGCCCAATGTGGTTCTATATAACAAAGTGCTTTGCAAACAGTGCTTCTCAAACTTGAATGTCCTTAAAAAGTCATTTGTGGTGCTGGGTACAAGTCTACACTTTGAGATTGCCGCCCCCCCCCACCCCCCCAGCCTCTGAGGCCCAAGACCTCTGTACCCCAAAAGGCACTCCAGGAACTTATGCTGGACTGAGGCTATAGGCCATATTTTGAGCACAGTACTCCATGCAACATATTACTATGTACGGTCGATATTCTGGGGTTGAAAAAGGCACAGGAGAACTGACTGATTTCAGAAGACTGGCTTGCTGCTTAAGGCCAGTTGAGAAAGAGGGATTCATGAATGACACGGACGCCTTAGTAATAGAAAAGATATGTGTGGTTGCGCATGCTGGCATTTGGTGTGAAGCATTTGAGAATGGAAACCAAACACTGTACCTTGTGGAACCCAATGTGGGCTCTCTGCAAGCTGACTTGAAGCACATACTCTTGGTCGGCGTGCAATTTGATCCATCTGTTGTCGTTTCGTTTGTCTGAAGTCAGAGTTGTGATAGAGAGTTCACTGTGTCCTTCCACTGAGTCATCCCACCAGCCTTTAACACTTAAGCCAACATCCATCACTGGCAAGCGAGATAAGAAATTCCATGCCTGAACAAAAAAAGAGAGAAAAGATAATAAAGGAATGGTTAATTTGAAATGCAGTGACCAATTAACAAATGGCATACTTAAAAAAAATCAACCTATTTGTTTTGAGATTAAGTCTGGATTCAATGCAGTTGTAAGAAATAATATAGAGAGATCCTGTGTACCCCATTTCTCCAGTTTTCCCCAATGGTAGCATTTTGCAAAACTCAAGTACAATATTACTAACTCAAGTACAATATTACTACCAGGATATTGACATTGATACAATCCATAGCTCTTGTTCAGGTTTTCCAGTTTTTCTTGTACTTATTTGTGTATAAAAATGTTTGCATTTTAACCTTTGTAGTTTAAAGTCCTTTTAAAATCAACTAATAAAAGAATTAATCATTATCTAAACTTGTGACCACTTTATACTAAATACCCCTTAGATATTGAGTGGCTATAAACTATACTAAAAAATAAGTTAAAAAATGTTTGCTGCTGAGCTGGTTTGTTTTATTTATTTTTACTTTTTATTTTTTTAAAGATTTTATTGGGGAATTAGGGGAGGGGAACAGCATTGGGGAATCAGGGAAGGGGAACAGACAAGTTGCTGTCCTTTTGTTCTTCAGTCTAGTTGTGGAGAATGTCGCTTCCCTGGCCCATGTTGGTTATTATCATTGCGCTCTTCCTGGGTGAGGCAGATTGGTCACTGGCCACTGGATGGCTGCTCACAGTGGCTCATGGCAGCTCATGCCAGCTGCCGGCTGCTCACGCTGGCTGCTGGCCACTCATGGTAGCTCATGGCAGCCCACTGCAGCCTCACTGCAGCCTATGCTGTCACCGGCAACTCATGGCAGCCCAGCTCCAGGTTGAGCTGTTGTTCAGCATCTTAGCTGTAGAGGGCAGTGTCACTGGCCCTTATGTGGGATCCGAACAGCGGCCCTGCTGCTCAGATCCGGCACTCCCAAGCCAATTCTTAACCAATGCGCCACACAGCCAGCCCGAGCTGGTTTGTTTTAGAGAAGCATCTATTCTAACATCTAGGTGATTTCTAAGGTAGAGAGCATTACTTCGGGATATAAGAGTAACAAAAAATGTGATATAATTGTTGTCAGCAGTCAGCATCATCCATTGACCACTTACTATACAAAATGTTTTTCTGTCCATATTCCAAATTTATTCTGCAAGGAAAATATTTCTGTCTGTATATCACAAGGAAACTTATAAGTTTAGGGTTTCTTCTAGAAACAAATATATATTTTTGGCGTTATCAAACTGAGAATACCAATTAAAATGATACATATTAAATGGGTAGAAAATATTTTACCAGTTTTATTCTTATTCTTTAAATTAAAAGACATTTGTAAGAAATAATCATGCAAATAGTGCTCATCATTGTTGACTGAATTCCTAAGTCTACAGAAGGATGTAACAAAATAAACTTGATGTCCTCAGATAATTGTCACCTTTTTCTATCATTTACAATTATATAGCAGAATCACCATTGGCACTATCACCATCAGTCAAGATAACTTTTCAATATATTGGTTGTTTTATCAGTTGTTCCCTTCTAAGTTAGTTTTAAAAGTACATGGATATTTTAGTTTTAGTTTTCCTTTTATTTCTTTAATATATACCACACATTTGCTTATAGGCTTTGATTTCCTATTTGTGAAGACTTTAGTGCTGCTGAATATATCTAATTGAAATGAAGTAGTCCTAGTGAATCAAACTGTGCCTTCGGAATTCAAAAAATGTAAATCCAGTGCAAATTTTCAATGCAACTCCAATCTTGTAACTTGTCTTGTGACTCTGAAGTTATGTCTAAAATAGATCTTGAAATAGTCAGGCCATGGTCTACACTGTGCAAGGTGACAAATGATGGCCTCTCCCCTGCTAGAACCAACAGCTATACCACTTGATGTCCTAAGACTGGCCAGAGTCAGAAAGTGATCAAGAGGACATTTAAATACACAACTCTTGTAAAGCATTTCAATTTGTGCGGCAACACAAGTAACGTTTACCACATGAAGCAAGCCTTCATGTTTCTTTAGCTGTACCATTAAATTAGTTACCAATATGTTTTCTGTTATTAGCAACTGGTTGGGATTTTACTTTACAAAGCCTCCAAGAGTCAGGCCTGGCTTTTATATACATGCATTCTTTTTGTAGCACTTAATATTATTTTTCATCCTCAGTGTGTACCCGTATTTGTTGGGGGTGTGTGTACACACAAACGCACGTATGTATATAAAACATGAGCTATTTTTACAGAAACTGCTAAGACATTTCAATACCAGCCAAACATATTTATCTGAGGATTAATCTTCATCTATTGAATCAGGCAAGAGCACTGCCATGCATACAATTATTTAATTAGCAGCCAAATCCTCTGCCAGTCAGCAGCCGTTCCAGGCATACTGATGGGGTAGAAGATGCAAATCTCACAGTCGTACTGCTTTTTCTCATTACTACTGCAATTAGCACTTAAATTGATGCTTTAAACATACTAATTTCTGGAATAATTCAGGATTTGTATGTTACCTGGGATCGCCTCACTGCAGAGCCAACACCAGATTGCTCTGCAAATTGAAGCACTTTTGAGCCAAATAACCATCATCATATCAGACTGAGCCAATTTGCATTTGGTTTTAAAGATAACAGAATGGCAATTTATGCAAATAAATTAAGTAAGTTTACTTCTGAGTTCTCCCTGAACTAATTATAACAATGTTCTAATTTTTCATCACATCTAAAACTTGGCTTGAAATCAATGTATGCTATGTTAGAAATTTGTTGTTGCTAACGGAAGCCTTGTTTTGATTTAAATATATTGTTTCTATTCATAATTTTGATGGTAATTTAGTTAGAAAGGTAGGCACTTATTATGAATATTTAAATAGTTTTTTGTGCCAATTTTGGGTTCAACAGAAATTGAACAATCAGACTTTAATGCCTGTTTTTCCAAGTCTTGCTCAAAAATAAGTTCCAGTGGATAAAAAATGACATGGTTTAGAAGTTTCTTTATTTTAATACCTGCATTTGCAAGTCAAAATGTTAATTATGTTACAAATCCTGAATGTTTACTTTGACATGTTTAGAGTAAAATTGCTTAATACTTAAAAGTCTAGATATGCCAAATATTTCTGGCATCATTCATTCATATTTTTGGCCTTTCCAAAGATGGTTTGGAGAGATGACCTATGTTCTCTTTCACAACACAGATTTACCTTTTTTATCTAAGTTACACTGTATACAAATGAAGAGTTTATTTGAAGGAATAATTTAGAATCTAGTTATAATAAAATGATTAAAATTAGGGTGGGGGCATGAAAATGTAACTGAGGAAACTGCATGAAAATATACTCAAGTGTTAAAAACAGAAAAGCCACTCTGAAGGGCTGAGAAGAGCTCCTGGGTAAAGCAGCTTAGTGACGGACAAGCTGTAGTAGACCTTTGTCAGGTGGCTCCTGAAACAACTTCTAATAACAACAATGCTACTCCTAATTATTGGTACTGTCATTATTTTTCATATCACTTATTGAGCTCTTATTCTATACCAGGAACTACATAAAGCAGTTTACATAATAATATCCTGCTTAATTTTCATCAGAATTTCATGAGACAGGTATGACGTTTTCATTTCCATAATCATGGTTAGGAAGTGGTGGACAGATTTACATCCAGGTGGGTCTGACTCCAATAACCGAAGCTCTAAGTTAGAAAACTCCAGGTAAACATTCCCAGACAGAGTAAAGGAGCTTCAAAACACGGAAGGGATGGCTTTACCTGCTTCATTTTTTCAGCCGGTATCTCCTTTTCCATCATGGAGCTGAACACGTGTTCTTTCCCACCACAGGCATGGATCAGTTCAGGAAGGCACTCGATGAAGCCGTGGCACCCAGCACGTGGGCCCTTTATACCTGGGCTCCATTTCCTGAGAAGTAATTTTAATACCAATCAAATAATTCTTTCATAATTCTTTCACAATGAGATTTTCCAATAATGATGGTTTAGAAAATTAGAACAGTTTTTTAAAATTAAGATTACTGTAAACTTTTTAAAGGCCATTATTGTTAAAGTTCAGAATCAGCCAGCATTCTCTAAGATATCAACCCAAGGCTGTGGCACTATCACTACATACAATGTATAAATCATGTGAGCTCAGCAGAGACTTAGGGTTCCCAGACAGTGGGTGTCTTTCTATAGGAAGGCACTCATGTGCGCTAATGCTTCAACGTGGAAAAGCACTGAACTGGGGCCTTGACATGTTTTTAATGGATGCAGCCAAATGACTCTAATATAATTACTTGAATAAAGTTTTCATTGTAAGTTGTTGGGAACATTTGGCAATCTTTGAGATTTACAGTATAAATAGTGCCAGGTCCCCAGGAATGTAGGCCACCTAAATCTTACTCTCTATTTGCTGTTCGTATAGCAAACAGAAACATATAATTAAAATTATACTTTTCGGGGTAACAGTGAAGAACTGGGTCAAATCTCCAAGGTCCCAGCAGCTTCCATAATGGGCCTGGCTGTTGTGTCGGGTGGTACCCGTATGTGCCTGCTTTACTGCTGAAAGCCAGTTCCCATAACTCTTACTGCCATATTGGGAGGGTTCCTGAAACTGAGCTGTAGACATATGAGGTCTCTGCTTTCCCCCTCGTGTCACCTGCTGCTGGTGTGGTTCACTCTCTGAATGTGTGTTTTGGGTTCCAGGGATATCTCATGGTGGGGACTCAGCACCAGGGAACCAAATGCCCTGGAACCCACTCAAGACAAACTGAGGGAGCTTCCTGAGGAGACTCCATGAGTGTCTGAGGTTCCAGGTGGCTTTTGTATCTAGATGCCTAAATTGACTGCCCTGCCTAGTCCAGCTGACAAGAGGTAGCGGGTAAATGACAGCAACCTGCAGCCAGACTGTTTTGCTTGTCGACATAACTGGGAATCAACATTTTGGCTGCAAAGTGTCTCTCGACTGGTGTGAAACAAACATTTTCATTTAAACACTGCCAATCTTGCTTGTACTACGTACTGGGTTTTTACTTGTTAAAATAGTTGCAGCCATGTACATAGGACCTAAGGGTTAAATAATTTGATGACAATATAAACTCATCTTTTAAGCACACATTTTATCTTGAGCTGCTAGTATATAAAACAACCCAGTTTTATACATTTTGCAGTTGTACACTTTACTTTTGACAATGGGTTTCAGATCCCTCAAATCTATTCTGCAATAACAGAAACTGGTAATTTATTTTGCTTTAGATCACAAAGCGCTTTAGCATCTTTTCAAATGAAGGTTGATATTGTGAAGGAATAAGCCCAGTTAAAATAGAAATGTATCCAATGTTGCAAGTGGAAAACCATTTAATGGAAGGTTCAAATGAACTGTGCTTCAGCTTGGGACAGAGGATCAAATTCTAAGTGAGACTGTTAAAACACTAGACCATGTCTCCCTCTGGGAAACGGGCATTTTCACTGTAGAAAAAAAAAATCAATATTCTTTAGACAGCTTGAAAATCAAGTGACCACACATGTAAAGAAAATATTTCTGAAGTTGCTGTTGAATAATATTGTATGTTAACTACAATTATATATTCATATAGTCACGGGATGTGGAGTAGAGTGTGGGAATGGAGTCAATGGAATTGTAATAGATAAGCATGATATCGGGGGTGGGAGGGCAGTGGATGGGGAAAGGGGGTTGTTTCTGTGTGAAGGGTGAAAAGGATAACTATTGAATTGTTCTGTACACCTGAAACTAATAATAAAAAAAAAACAAACAAAAAATAAAGGTCATTTATTACAAACAAGAAAAATAATTTTTTGAAATTTGAAAACCAATTACCTTGAAAATTAGAACAATTACCTGAAAATGTGAAGATGGTGGTGTTCTATGTTCGGTATTGTAAGAAGAGAAGAGTCTTTTAACCACCGACCCTGGATCACCATCTGCACCAGGTTGGTGATATTCAGGGCTGTCACCAGCCAGCCCTGGTTTGCAGCCACATCCAGCATTGCCTGAGCAGGGAAAATGCACAAGTTACCAGAGTACCATGGCACCTGCCCTCTCCACTGGGGATCCGATGACTGCTTTAACAAAAGGACAAACAACAAAGCCAAGCATTATACCTTCAAATTACTATTAACTAAAATAGAAGACAGAAAATGAAATACAGTTGGATTGGAGGGAACACACAATCTCCTGTAGCATTTACTGCATAGTACTTCCTACAAAGTGGCAAATATTCAGCTTTTTTTAGGGCAGCAAAGATAGCCAGATGATAATGGTACTCAATATTAAAACAAAGAGAAAAACTCAGTGTACTTTGAGAGCAAACGCCTATATATAATTCACTGTATCAAGAGCATTAGCAGCTGCATTTAAAGAGTAAATCTCAGGCAGTGTTTTCCAAATTTAAAATCAATAATGGTAAGGTGATAGGTTTCCTTGCCAAAAATTTTTTTTTCCCAAAGAGAAGGCTGAAGGTAGAGGCCTGGTTTTCAATGAAAACAGTACACCTCACAGTAGCTAAGGGGGGCGTCTGCCAGTGATGCGTGTGGAATGATGAGAAGCTATTCATGTTAGTCTATACATTTAATCTAATGTTTTATGGACAAACAGATGCTGCATTTACTTAAGGCAAAACTAAACAGTGAAATCTTATTTAAACAAAGGAGAAGTTTACACAGGCAAAGCTATTTCAATTAAATTAGATTCTGGAGAATGCTGACTTAAAGACACATAAGTTACTATGATCGGAGGCGGTTACTTCATACAGGTTTAGGAGTGTCCTCTCGTTTTGGGAAATGAAAAGATGAAGGTAAGTGAAATCAGATGTACCTTGTAAATGCTTAAAATGATACTTTCATACTAAATAGCTCACCAATAGTAAAATATTTTAAAAATGTACAAAATCTATTAGCACATTTTTAGAAATAATTTTTAAGATATATTATTTCAGTAAAATGAATTTGCCATATTACTTAGTACTACTGAGAGAGACACATTTTCCTTCTATGTTTTGAATTTCCTATTCTGTGTTCTTGAATTTACAAAAAGTAAAATAGTTTTAAAAGCATCTGGCTAAACCAATCTGTGGCCTTTTCATATACATTACAGGGAAATTGATCAATGTTTATGGGTAGGATGGTTGGTCATTAATGTGATGGAACGGTCAGACTGGTCTTTAGCTCTCGTGAGTCTATTAATTCATTGTAAAGCCTGAGTGTTGATACAATAGTTATATGTATGTATGTATATGCGTGTGTATCACTGTGTACACATGTACGAATGAACATGTTTATAAATCTATGGAAAATCCACTTCTAGTCCTCCTATTTTTCTGCAGAGCTGATTAAAACACTTTGCCATTCTTTGAAGTGCATGAGACAAGCAGGTCACGACCACCACTCAGATTTAAAAAAAAAAAAGCGTTAGTTCACAAGTCACAACTCTTGAGTTCTGTAAGGGAAAAGGAAAAGAGAAGTGAATAATTATATCTAATCCAGTATCATGATGATGTTAGAAGTTGTAATGTGGAGTAACTATGGTGATTTTACTTGTGATTTTACATTACAACTTGAGTGGAAATAAATTCCAGACCGAAAGCTCACATACTAGAAGAGCTGGATGGATGGACCATATGTTTTTAACTTTGAAGTTTTCATGATGAAGTTGAAAGATTTCATAAAATTTATGAGACTGCCCCACAATTTTTCATTGTATGATCCAGATGTGAAAATGTAAAAAATCATGCAAAGTGACTGCTTACATGAAGTAAATGAAAAGCCATATCATGAATTGAAAACTATTATTTATCTTGTTTTAATTTAGGGAAAAAGCAGGTGGGGAGATCAAGAACCTGGGAAGACCAAAGGTCTCGTGACTGCTCAGATGTGGGGAGCCAAGTGCTGTTCCTCAGTGCTGCCCCATCACTCCCTGCAGGTCCTGTAGTCTTCCACCCCCTCCCCCACGCCACTGACTCAGTGCTGACCCTCACGAACTCTCACCTGGAATATTATAAATTTCCCTTGGGGCCGGCCGAGTGGCGCGATGGTTAAGAACTCGCTTGGGATGCCAGAGGGCCCCGGTTCGGATCCCACATATGAGGGCCAGTGACACT